CTACTAGTTATAAATATACATCTTTATTATTTAACTTTAAAATGAAAATTTGTGTTAATTTACAAGGAAGAAATGTCATCTCCATTAGATTGGTATAAGCCAAGATTTTACGTTAGAATTAAATATTGGTACGTTAATAATCCGAAACAGGGTCGGATTGCTAGATTTTTATATGCAATCAAGTATCATGGAAGTAAGAATAACATTTACATTCAGCTCACGAGAACTTCCCTCGGCAGATACTTTATACTTGTCCATGAATAAAACTAATTTGTGAGCTCTTAGTACGCTCCTGGCGTTCTTGTAAATTATGTTGTTAAACTATGGAAATGATATCTTTCGTTGTTACATTTTGTTCAGATAATTTATTAGAGAGGTAGTGTATGCATTCGTGAATAAATCTTGATGAAATTGACATTATTATATACTTTGTTTCCGATTTTAAAAAGTCTAAGCTGTACTCATATTAATTGTTGTTTTAGTATGAGAAATCTACACTAATAGTCTTCCTTAGTGGAGATACTTATCAATTCACGACCCTGAATTCGGTAGTAAATACTTTTGTATTGCTGACCACCATCTATGGTGAACCATGGCTGACTAAACTGAAGAAATTTACTACTCTACAATTTTTAATTTGTAGAGTTCGATTAAGTTTTTTTTATACTGAAAATAGATTAGAGAAATGTAAAAAATTAGGAACATAATAAAACTGGATTTACAAACAATTGTATTATTTTTTTGTGGGGATTATAAGTCATATCCGACATTTATATTATTTTAGTTTTAAAAACAAACTTAAAGTATTAATTCAGAAGAAGTAATAATTCTAAAACACATAAAACTTCTCGTACATTCTTATACTGAAAAGACTAATATTGTACGAAGCTTTTAAATTATGATATAATATGCATGAAACTTCTGGATCGGGGACGCTCGAGTTTACTCTTAATGTAACTGTTTTACGAAGACCGATGAGATGAACTTCTATTAAGAAAAGTATAAGCTTGTAATTCATACCAAAACTTACAAATTGTGATATAAATATTTATTTATAAAAGTTCACGTCATTCTTTATCCGTGTTACCAAAATTTAGTCTTATTAGCGGTTGCCTGTGACTCCGTACGCGTGGAATTAAAAAAAAACTTAGCCTATGTTTTCTTCCAGACTATGTTCTATATGTATGCCAAATTTCATCAAGGTCCATGCAACCGTTCCTGATGTACCTTCAAACAAACATCCATCCGCACAACTAAACACTGGCATTTATAATGCTAGTTAGATTTATTTATCTACATCACATTTCAAAGGCCAACTCCAAATCTGGATTTAATATTTTGTTGCCTTCCGTATAGGGGAACGTACCCATACTACGAGACCCGTTTGGGGGGGGGGCGGGGTCCTAAAAATACTACCGTCAGTCACAGGAGCAAGGGGGTGGCTCAGATTTTAGTCACGTAGTCGTTAGTTGTTTTTTTCATAATACATAATTCACTGGTAATTTAAGTATGCATGCAGTCTTATGCTATAAAGAAGAGTATGAGCCAAATTATGTTTTTTTTTTCAATTTTGCCTGTGAAATGATTAAAAATCATAATTATGAATTACTACATAAAATCTAAAGGGGAGGGGTGTCTTGGCATGTACTACGACTGATCACCGAGGGGTGGGAGGGGTCGGAAAAACTAAAAAATAGGTCATGTAGTATGTGTATGTTCCCTAGCTTAAGTGGCTACTGAGATCCTTTGAGTAGAATTAGTATGGGTAATCTTTTTTTTACTGAGTATTCAGTTTGCCTTGAAGAAGCATTTACAGATATAATCTTCACTGTAGATGTGTTTAAGTTACTATTAAATTGTAGTATAAGTTTTTTTGGTAAAACCGTATGTATTTTTCCTTGTCCATGTCCTTAAAGACAACCTTCAAGAAAATTGAGTTCGTAGTATTTTACTGACATGATAAATGACACGCTATAAAACAAGGAAACGCTGTAACACATCCCTTAAGAATTAACCTTGTTCATATGTAAGAAATATTTCCGAAAAGAAAAAACATTTTAGTCAACGTTTTGTATGAACTTTTATTTTCTTTACCAAAACAAGATTTAAGCTTTACATTAGGAATTTAATTTACTCCCAAATAATTATACATAATATTTTTAAGAAAATTTAATATTATAATATAAAGCTATAAAACTAAACCGATGTGGAAAACATTTTTACATATCATATATTTTATAAAGTACACAATAGAACCAAACTTTTAGTTGAAAAAGCTTCGGTTTGTTTACAATGCACTCTAATACAGACTGCAACTCTGATGTAAAATGTAAAATCGACGGAAGTTTGGATTGTAGTAAATTTATTGACAGAGAATTTATTAATATTGAAACATAAATAAACGCAAGAAACTACGATATATTAGAAGATACAATTTTAAATCTGTAAACTTGATATACAGTTTTTTTTTAATTATTTTTTCGTTACCGATTTGTAAATAGTTTTTTTTTTAGCTTAGCTAATAAAAGTAAAAATTTTATATTTTATAACATACACATAAAAGTACCTTTCTTAATATAATTTTGCGTAAGCTTCAATTAAATTATACAGCGATATCTAAGCTTTTAAGCTCTTACATAAAAGAAGATTCAATAATTTAGCTATACACATTTTATCTGATCTTATTCTATTATTGCATATAAATTGCACGTTCATTATAATTAAACAAATGAAATAACATTTAGTTCTTTGCACCATTACAATGAAATAAAAAAAAACATTTAAAAATAAATATAAAGAAATAACGCAGCAATTATAATTACATAAGAAAAAGGAAATATGTCCAATGAGCATTGCATGCTACACGGATAGGATCCTCACTCACTAATTCATGATGTTCATAATAACAGTAGAAATATGAATAAACTTACTGTCAGTAAAAAAATTACTTAGTCTTAGTACTGACAGTAAAAAGATATATTCATATTCAAATCAGACAATTTTTTTTATAACAGAAGGGGGCAAACGAGCAGCGGGAACACCGAGGTGTTCAACGACGCCCATAGACATCAGCAATACCAGAGGAACCGCAGATGCGTTGCCGGCCTTTGAGGTGGTGATAGGCTCGCTTCTTGAAGGACCCTAAGTCGTATTGGTTTGGAAATTTACTTAAAATTATTTATTATTATTTTGATTACAAGAACTACTCTCTTATGTTATTCGTGTAAAAAGCTACGTGTCAAAATATCTAGAATTTACGACAAATTGAGTTGTAGTTTTAAGGAAAAAAAATATTTAATATCACTTTAGACGAAAGGTCATCCGACTATTTCGATGTCATTTTGTTGAAAGACGTCGACGTATATAACCTAGAGAGAAATGTCACTTATCCAATTTTATTATTTCGTTATCCTAAAAAAGCAAAAGTCTAAAAAATGAATGATATTTTCTTATTCTATTTTCTGTTATCAAATGACTTTATAGTATTAACCAAAGATTTCTAAGCGTTTCAAACTTGTGGTTAATAAAAGAACCTCATCAGCTCACTATACGTCCTCACTGATGCGCTCGGAGCCCACCCTAAGTTAGGGGTGACTAGGCCATAGTTAGCCACGCTGGCTCAGTGCGGATTGACTTTACACATATCTTTGAATTTCTTCTTAGATATGTGCAGGTTACATCACGATGTTTTTCTACATCGTAAGAATATCTGATCAATGTACACATGTAAGTCGGAAATTGAAAAACATAGGTACATGGCGGAGTCGAACCCAGGACCTGCAGATTGCAAGACAAGTGCTTAGGTGTGTGTACCCCTGATCCACCGACGCTTTTAAAAGAACATATGATTCCAGAATTATGCGATACATAAAAATTCACAATACACGCCAACATAAATTGCTACGAGCTACGACCATAGTGCTACGTGCTACGAGCTACGGATGTAGCACGTATAGTACATTTAAAAACTAACACGTGTAGCTTCAATTTTGAACTGTTGCCATATTTTGAGACAAACTGCACACGTAAAATAACATAAAATAGTATAAATCATTATTTACGAGCTATGTTTTTAAAATTTTTAAGTACAAAAAATGAACCAAATGCGAATATTTCTTGCGTAAAAGTGATCAAAAGAGAGAGATAAATAGAGAAGAGAAAAAGGAAAGAAGAGATGTAAAAATAACAAAGAGAAGGGGAGTTCACGAATATTAATATAATAAAATAAAATATATAACATTTCGCGACAATTCTTGTAAGAACAAAGAATTCTATGCTAACAGAAAAATGATCATAACAAAAAATATCAAACATTTCCCATACTTATATTATGTTGTTAGAAAGCTCAATGACGGATGATGTGCTTACGATTGACGCTTGCTAAGTTACACTAACTTAAGTACTTATGTTTTATTTTATTTGACCACTAACTATAAACAGACAGTAATAAATATAACAACCACTAAACCACTGAACATTTGTTGAATCTGTAGTTGGACGTATTGACGATTTCAGAGAAGGTTTGTGTCATAAAAAAAATAGATAAAAATAAAATAGTTTTTAATTCTTAGTAAAACTTTTTGCTTACACTATTGTCTACATTATTCTAAATAAAAAGTTCTTTCTCTATATTTCGTCTTTTGCACTAGACAACATGAAACATGCATACCTTTATTTACTACATGTAAATTAATTAATATTCTGGCTATTTCACGACTTAAAAACTCATTGTCTTCCATCTTACAAATGACCAGAAAAGTGAGCTCGGATCATTCAATACGCTTGAAGAACTTTTCCAACTTAGCAACTGGGATTTTGCGATCAACTTGTTCGGAACATGCCTCGTTTAGGCGACGAAAAGGCTTTTAAAATAAGTTTCTTAAGACTTCTCGATCACTTATATTACTTACTAACTTTACAAAGAGCTCAAAATTATATCTTTAGTTTGTATTTAAGTTTTAAAGATAATTTCTATAATAAAAAAAATATTGTTTACTTACCTAGTCTTAATTTTTTCGTAAAGAACACTTGATATATGGTGGCACTTGATGTTTTTCTATATCGTAACCTGGAAAATAAAAAAATATGCAGTTAAAAATTAAACTAATAATTAGTAGTCAAAATAAACTTATCTCTTATCACATATGTGACCTACTTATCTAGATTAAAACTGACATCTGCAATAGAACATATTAACCCTTATGTTTATTTTGTATAGTATACCATATATACAACTTTATAGAAATACTAGCGGACCCGACAGACGTTGTCCTGTCTACACGTCTTTAATTTGAATAAATTAATATGAAGTTAATATTTGATGAAAATTGTGAATCTAAACCATTGCCAGATCCCCTTGAACACACACAAAAAATTTCATCAAAATCGGTCCAGTCGTTTGAGAGAAGTTCAGTGACATACACACGCACAGAAGAATTATATATATAAAGATACGATCAATATAAAATTATTTTTAATTTGTATTTTTAACTTTGTTTTTTGCTTTTCTTTAAAAAAAGAAATCTTGCCATAATAAGGGTTAAACAAACAGTATTCGCTACATAAAAATATCAGTAAATTTAATTGATTTTTAAACCTTTGACAGTGCGGAAAAACACGAATTCGAAAAACAGCTCTTGTTATAATCGATTCCTTCGTTTAGATTATAAAGGGCCTAGCATGAATATTTGTGACAATCCTCATCGTATAGACATCGACAAAATTTGCAATATAAATCGGTGTGGGACAGCACCCCCTACCGTTCATAAAATACACCAACCAACATCATACAAATATTAACATGATTTGCCGATAACATTACGAACGAGCATGTCGCAATTGTTCGTGCTAGGCCATCAGGTCACAATGAAATTGACATACATATAAACTCACATTATATAGATATATAACGTGCGAAAAACAATACTCTATTTACGTCAGGTAAATATAGGCTATTCAATATTACATAATGTATACTCGAAGCTAAAATATTATTATTAAAATATGACTGTACATTAAAATAATCTGATACCGATATTTCATGTAAGAGAATAAAATATTGCAAAGGAATAATAAATGAGTTGAGCACAGTTTGAGTCGAGTTCACGTGAATGTTGTTTTTCAATATTCTACGAGCGATACTAGAAAAGACTTGCTCGTTTTACTGAATAATAAAACGAGCAAAAGAAACTTTTCAACACTACGTATATGAAGTTATTCAACTGGAATCTAGTATACATTTAAAAATTGCTAGAAGTTACCAGTGACTTCGTCTACACAAGATTAAAAAATACTGTAGCTTTAAAACAGTGGAAGAATTTTTCTAATCGATTCAGTAGTTTCGGAGCCTAATCAAAGCAAACAAACCAACAAATAGTCAAACTTTAATAAGTGTAATAATATAAAATAAAAGAGTCGTACTAAGAATTAAGGTATCTCACGAAATAGAACGTTTTTACGAAAATTTGTATAGCGCCCTTACCTGTCGAAAAGTATACCAACAAATCTCATTATAAATTTTTTCGAGAGCGTAACGAAAACGTTCTCTTAAATGTCAGGCATATATTCGTAATAGACCCCTTGTATATGTATATGAGAAATCTACCCCATTAATGTACTCTGGGTATCGTTCTTTATTATATTTATTTGAAGATTATTAATTGGAAAAGTATAATAATTATAAGAAGAAAGTTATTCATAATACCTTGCCTTCATTAATCTTTCCGCAACGCATATGATGGATGGTGCGTCACGTGTAAATATAATTCTAGTTACATCAATATAGCGTCTCATTACTTGGTTATTGATTGTTTGTTTAATCGTTATTTAATAGAGTTAATTACTTGAAAAGAAAATAAAAGAACCGTATTACATAACCTATATTATTATCATTAAATATCAAAATATGATATCTATATTAATATTATAAAGCGTAAGAGTTTGTTTGTTTAAACGCGCTAATCTTAGGAACTACTGGTCCGATTAGAATTTTTTTTTGTTCGATAGTCCATTTATAGAGGAAGACTTTAGGCTATAAAACATTACTCTGCGACCAATAGTTTTTTTTTAATTCCGCGCGGACGAAGTCGCGGGCAGCTGGTTAAAACCAAGTGATCCTATAAGGGTTCCGTCTTTTTCCTATGAGGTACGGAACCCTAAAAATAACATAAAGATTGTTCAAATTTTAACACAAAACAGGCCAATAATCAGGTGCTCGAAGACGTGGAGAGAGAGACCGCTAGATGATGAAAATTTAATTAATAAATCAATATTATTTTACACCTAAAATACTGTAATAAGGCAAAAAATAACGCAATCCATAGAAATAACTTGACATCGGTTTTTATCGATTGAGGCAACCAAAACTATGGATTCTGGCTGATCGTCATATAAAAAAATCTACGACATTTATTATGACTGAACTAGCGGTCGCCCGCGACGCCATCCGCGCGGAATTAAAAAAAAAATAACTAGTAGCCTATGTGTTCTCCCAAATTATGTTCTATATGTACGCCAAATTTCATCGAGATCTGTTCATCGGTGCTGGAGATGCCTGCCAAACAAACATCCATCCATCTAAACATTCGCATTTATAATATTAGTAATATAACTTTATTGCCAACCAAGCAATATTTCCCTTTGGTGTAACTGGTTTCATCTTAACCTACTTTTTAATTTAATTAACAAGCTTATTCAATATATTAAGCGGGCTTTTAATCGATTAATTAACGATATTGACTTTGTTAACTCCCCTGCGTACAGTCGCCGGAGTGATCGATGATACGAATGCCCTTGGTGTACCGGCCTTTAATATATACATGCCTTGATAGATTATAACGTTAATTAATTTTAAAGAAAAGTTAACTAAGCTATATTTAAAATTAATATTCACTACCGGAGTTAATGTAAGCATTAAACTGTGTACCGTAATTATAAGTAATTATTATGTGGAAAGGCAGACTCTACAAAATAAATCTAGTGATTACGTCATAATTCAAAAATCATTTTTATCTGGTACCATATCAATTGATTCTAAGATAGCAGTTCCATCTTTCTCTCGTTGTTTATCACAACGTTTCAGTTTTCAGTGGCAAACGAGCGAGCGGTCACCTGAAATCGCTGAAATAACGAAGTGACCTTTGACCATAGACATACGCAATTGCTTATGCGTTGCGTACCTTTAATCGACAGAGAGGATTCACAGAAAGAAAATATTGATAAAATAGCCTAATGGATCAAAGCGTCAACAACCTAATGGTTAAGGGTACGTTACTGATCACGTAGTCGAGAGATCGAATTCGATCGATCGAACGATCATTCGACTAATGTCGTAAACCATATCCTAGGACAATCCTAGAGCTTAGTTGGTATAAGAAATATTAGTAAATTAATAAAAATCAGCTTATATTAAAAAAAAACAACTAAAGCATTTGCTACAATTTTAAAAGAAATAAATGGTCAAGATAAGTTAAATAAAGTTAATTTACTTTAGAGAAATCTTTTAAAATGTAACACTGTTACAATATACATGGAAGGAATTTGAGACACGTCGTGCTCGAGGGACCATTAGAGGGAATGTAATGAGAAACATTAGGATTCTCAGCATTCGCCGGGATACTTGTTAGCGAAGCTCGAGTGAGACGCTCACAGTCTTACGAATTGTTATTTACTGCAGAACTATTTAGCTTCACTTCTTACCAGAATAATAATAAAAAAAGATTTGCTGTAATAAATGGAATTCAATAAAAATATTGACTTTAAAATCAAAACTCGGGGACTTATGAATTTGTGAATGAAAAATCATTTCGAATATTTCATCCATGTTGATTTTGAGACGTATCATCATCATCATCATCAGCTCACTATATGTCTCCACCGCCGGGCTCTACCTACCCTAAGTTGAGGGTGATACGTATATTATTATGATAAATTGTTTTTAAGTTGTATTAATTTTTGTGGAAAATTCCTATTGAATGTACCTGTTTTGCATTGGCAATAATTAAGGTATTTATTAGCAACAATTTAAGAAAAATCTTAAGATTAAATGTAGTTGGATATTGGTAAGGATTTCAATTACTTATATAACATTTATCACGGCGACTGTACCGTGTGAAGATTAATCAAGGCACCGCGATCGGCTCAAATTAGTCTCGGTCTCGGTCCCTCTCCGCCGTTCATTAGTCATTCACCTTAAGAACGACCTCATTCAGGCATAGATGAGATCCCAGATGTGTACAAGTAACTATAAAACTAAGAACTAAGTAAACTAACGTGTATTTCATCTAACCAAATGGCTGTACAGAACATTGAAAACCTCCTTGACATGTTACGTTCAAATAAAAAAAAAGATTTAATAAACGGTTGACAAATATAATCTTATAGAACATCTTTTGACGGCGGTTAAAAATTAGTAAATCGAATCAAGTATTAAAATTATAAATTCAATATTGAATGTTTTAATTATAGTTAAGCGTAGTAAGCGGCGAGATCAAAAAGAGCACAAAATACAGCTCGCTCTAGTGCGATATTGATTAGATAGACGACGCGGCGGAGTGCGATGTTATATTGTTTTTTAATTAACTCACGTAATGACCGTTTTATAATAAGAGCAATTCCATTAATTGTTAACTCAGTTAGACATAAAGGCAGTCCGCATACAGACTAAGGAGTATCGAAATTGATTAGTGAACGCAAAGCTAGCGTCGTGCGGGTACAAAGCATGGTGAGGTAAACTCACTGAACGACGGACTTCGTCCGTGAAGTAATACCACTTACGGAGTAACTTAAATACATACTAGTCCCACTCACCATGATGAAGGACTTCCCATGGAATCAAAATTGGTCGGTGCTAACACCACATCGTCAGTATTTGGCCGTTCATATATTAGTTTAAAACTAAATAAAGCTTGTTTTTAAATTAAATATTTTATTGCTTTAGAATATACTTGAATAAATCGAATCTTTTTTGTCGGGTAACTCTTTTGTAATCTTCAAGGACATTATGAATTGGTCTTGTTCCAGATAATTAATAATGTAACACGATTTTCGAGTTCCTTTTTTCATCGCCATTTCAGTCTACAGACGTAATTAATGCTGTAGAAGGAATATAATCTGCTTGATGAATGACCTAAAAACGAACATAATATATATTTTACATCAAAATTTACAAACCGTAAAAATACGACTTGATAATTAAAAACTAAAAATACAACTAGACTTTGAACCTCGGAAAAATTAATCGTTTCACTATATGGTTTACCAAACCGCACTGGGTCATCGTGGCTGACTATGCCCCAGTCACCCCTAGAGTACTTAGGAGCTAACTTAGGGTAGTCTCCGAGCTCCTTAATGCGGAAGTATAGTGAGCTGATGATGATGGCTATTCTAAGTTATCTCTACTTTGGTTAATTGGTATAAAGTTCAAAGTTGTTGTTATTTATATGTCCAGGGAAATGCGAATTTTCAGTCGACTATTTGGCGCTTTCAAAGAACTTTGGAGTTTGAATGTGAGAGGTCTTAGTTAGCAGTTAATTAATTCTACATAGATTTCAATCAACATGTTCTAAAAGTGATTCCCTTTGGGAGATTTAAAGTTTCCTTTCTTGTCTCAAGAAATATATTTTTTATATCAAAAATTAAATTATATTTTGATTAATTTATTTAGAAATAAGATTCCAATTACTATATTAATTAAAAAACAGACAAATGAACTTTGTGCTAGGGGTGCTTGTTTTGAAATAAACGATTAACTGCCATTATTTTTTAAACTATTGAAAAAAAAACTAAAGTTCCTGGATAGATGGATATGTAGCTAACGGCTGCATAGATCTCGGTGAAATTTGGCGTAGATATGACATGTTCATATTGAATAGCCTGGAAGAACACAAAGGCAAAAGAAAAGAAATTAATTAAGTATTAGAGTCGCTGGTCGATAGCAAGTAAATAATAAAAAAATATAATCACAATTTTAATAAAATTAATGAAAATATCAAATGACAAAACATTACGTAAGGTAACGCAGCGCGCGTCGTAAATCCTCTAGATTAGATTATGTGTCGACGAAACTTGACGTCGACTTTGTACAACATGTTTCTGCCACAAAAGCGTAAAATTCAATTTCCCGAGGGAGATAAATCGCGTTAACTTAAATATCTTAATGTATAAAGATGTTATTTTTTTTAGCAATTGCGCACGTCCTATTTGTTCCCTTTAAATGTAAAATGGATTTGCGAAACACGAAATTACGTATGTTAAATAAGTTTTGAATTTAAGAATTAATTTAACTTTTTTTATATAAGTAAATCAAAACTAACTGTTTAACTGAAAGATCCAAACACAAAGCATAAGGGATAAGAGTCTATATCAATTTGCCCACAAATTGGACAAATCTTTTGTCCATCGTTTATTTTATTGCTGTTGTTCTCTTTCATTTTTACGAAAAAAACTGAAATAGAAATATATATCTCTATGCTATGTTTGAATTGAAGAAATTAGTTCAACAATGCAATCATTTTTAGCTCTTAATAATAAAGCACCGCTTCTATTGATTCGCTGTGATGCGGCGCGTGTACATTATTTCAAATGTCAGGGGTCATAAACATTTTACGATTAAAGGTTTTTTAAGAAATTAAATGTCTAATCTCATGTCAGCCAGGGTAAAGGCTATAAGGGACTATGTTTTAATATAGATGAAGAAATCAATAATGTTTTTTATTTACGTTGAATAATGTTTATTAAGTAAGCTCAGACCGGGACTCCGTCCGCGCGGAATTAAAAATTTTTATTAATAGTTTACATGCTCTTCTAGGCTATGACAAATTTGCATCCATGCAGCCACTTTTTAACAAACATCCATCCATACATCTATACATTCGCATTTATTAATGTAGTAAGATTTATGTTTATTCTTCGTTTATTTGAAAGGAAAATTTCTATATGAATGATGGCTTTAAACTTTAACGTTAGTTTAAATTTTGTTGCAGTTTTAGAATGTAGCCGGAAAGTATTTATAGTAAATCACGTGTAAAATATAAGGTGCAGTTAAGCGGTATATTAAACTGTGAACTTAGTTTATATTTCGTCGTAAACGCGCGAGCTTTTTATGAGCTGATAAACTTTTTAATGTTCGCAATAACTTTACTCGAGCTTTGAATTTTAAAGCAAATTTGCTTACATTTTTAAATATTTATAGGAAATAGTAATATTATTATTTAGAGTAAAATTATTATAAAATATAAAAACATAATTAACTTCATACTTTTCTAGGAAAATAAAAAGTAATCTTACTAATATTATAAATGCAAATATTTGGATGAACGGCTGCAGGGATATAGAACATAGTCTGGTAGAACATATATTCCACTAATTAAGTTTTTCCTAATTCCGCGCGAACGGAGTCGCGGGCGACAGCTAGTTAATAATAAAAAGCTTAGACAAAGAAGAGACACCAGAATATACTGTAATTTTACTTATAAAATGTTTAAAAAATTACATAAAATAAGTATTATTTATACATGATATCTACATATCATTCCTCAATAGTCTTGTCATGTTTCCCTCGAGACTTGCATTCGAACGTAAGATTTTCACAGAGCCACAGATAAGATTCGTTCGGGCGTCAGAGAGACAATAAAACGATCGTCGTGAATATAAGATTTGCAATTCGTTTGACGTGATATGTTTTACTTTATACATAGCATTTGTTGTCTAACATATTTCAAAGTACAAAAAGGGATCCAAGCAGAATGATACTTTTGAATTTTATTTAGTAAATCAAATATCTTAGATTTAAATTGCAATAGTTACTAAAATTTTGTATTTGAAATGCTTTTGCGTGATTGCGAAAGGTTTGGGCGAATAAAGAACAAAATGTTGACGACGCCTGCCCGTGTACGAGCCTCTATGACATTGTTTCTGTGAGTTGTTTGGCGATTGGAATCGCCGGGTTGCAAATGTTTACGTAGTTTTGTGTACGAAACGCTTAATGGTTCGATATTTAGAAATAACGTTAATATAAAATAATTGAAATAAGAATATAATAAATGTCTGTCGAAATTGTGGCGAGCAATTTGGTCGGTTGCACAGCTCGCTTCATTTGCGTTCAAAAGACGTCGGTTGAGGACCGACACTGAAACCTCACTAACTGCGGTATTCAGCCTCTTGTTGCCTTTGATTAGTTTCTATTGAACCGCTCCCAACGTAACCGACTACCAATTTCTTATTTTTAAATGAATCTATTAATGTAATTTTCCTCTAAGTACACAACACAGTTTTGGTGGCAAAATTTATTATCTATTATCATGATCCTGTAAAACCTATAAATTTCTTCTATCTTACTTCTTACTATCTTAGTAATATTATAAATTGCGAATATTTGGATGTATGGATAGATGGATGGATGGATCTTTGTGAAAAGTACCGCCAGAATGGCTGCATAGTCTTGCAGAACACATATGCTAATAATTAAGATTTTTTAAATTTCGAGGAGACGAAGTCGAGGGCGATAGCTAGATACATACAAACAAAAGGGTTAAAAGTGTGAGAACTTATAATTACTTACCTAAAAACAACACTAGCTTCATCACTCTGCAGATGCGCAGTGTCGATCAGCGACCAGCGTAAGATGGCCTCTCCGCGTTCCCCCAGAGGTCCGCTTACGATCTTAGTTGGCAGAAAGCGTCCGTATTTGTAACTCTTTCTGTACCCAAGCACAGACCTAGCATTCCTATACCCACGTAACTTCGGCCTAAAGTAATAACCAACATCACCCTTTCTTGTCCTATAAATATCGAACGTTCTGTCACTCTCAAAATCTTCAATGTTCACTTTATGCTTCGATGCTCTTGAATGTTTCGGGACGAAGTATGGAGGCTCTTCGTCCCGGCAGGCGCGTTCCGAAGTGTCAGTCGGAGTGAAGTTGCCACGAATGAAATTATCCACGATCGTGTAGAGGACGTAATCTCGGAGAGATGTGTCGATGAACTGAAGGTGAACTGTAACAAGAAAAATAAGTTAATTTAAAAATATCTTGAATAAAGAATACATAGGCGCTTATATTGTTTTGGACAAAAGTTACGGATGCCCATTTTACAGTCTTGGTACCCCCTACTTTCATCTTTATTATCTAGACATAAATGGACATCTCCTGTATCAAGTAAATCTTGAAAAGTTAAAATAACGTAGCAATGTTTGGATTAAGATTTTTTAGATTTGACAACAAATTTACTATAAAATATTTTGCCTTACTATTTTTATATGAAAAATCTACTTCCTTCAGCAAGGAAACACTTAGACATGTTCTAATAACGTCCGACATGCTTCGGACACTTTTCATCCTCGTCACTTCAGTCCCAATTTATATCCAGATATTGAGGTTTCCTTTGCAACCTCCTGACATATCGTAGTGACTTGACCAGATGACAACAATGACAAGATTGTCGGACGTGACATGACATTATTTTTAGTTGTAATATTTTACAAATTTACATTTTCTATACACTTATTTATTGGTTGAATAAAAATATAATAAACCACTTATTGTCTATGAAGTCTGTTATTCGAAAAACATAAATATAAAAAACATAGGTTGTTTATATAACGATTTATTGAATCTGCACTCAGAGACATTAATCGCTGAGGCTTATTAGTGTATATTTCGTATGAGTAAACACTAAAGAACAGTTTAATTGTAGGTTTCCGATACCAAAATCTCTGTATAAATTGTTATCTCTGTATTGTCAAAGATAATGACAAGGATGACGATATGTTTAATAAAAAGATTTTGGTCTTAGAAACCGACAGTCAATGATTTGGCCAGTTCTATATTTGAAAAATAAAAAAATATTATGTCACGTTATAATAAAGTTAATCGAAAATTCTATCGTATTGTTTCTTTTTTATTGCAAACGTATTTTTCTCCCCCTGCCAGGACTGTCACTCGGTTGAATTATAGCTGTTTTTGTCGTCCTCTAATCTGTATGTATTTTCAGCCTACAGCTTTATTTGTTCATTTTAATCTGATTCAAAGGAAATTATTTACTTTAGGTACATTTTAGGATTTTTTTTTTATTTTAAGGGACTTTTATTTTCATAATGTTTGTCTCTTTGTTTAAGTAATTAATTAATTCCATTAAAAAGCTTGCACAGAATGTACTCCTCCATACATCTCTGTCAGCCTTCAATATCTGAATTCACCCCCTTCTTAATCATATCCTCTTTCAGACAATCCATACATGCTGTCTTTGGTCTTTATCTCGTTTAGCCATCCACATTCAATCTCATTACTTTTTGTTTATGGGATCATCCTTCCGCAGAACATGTCCAAACCACGCTAACCTTGAACTTCTTAATTTCTGGATCACTGGAGGTAACTTCAAACTACCTCTAATATCTACACATCTCCACATAACTTTATCCCTACGAATTCTTCGATATGATAAAATAGACATTGGTTAATTTTTGATAAAGTTTTCTGTATGTTACATAAACGCATTCTTTGACAAATTAAGAACTAAACAATTCCTAACCTAACCTTCCTTCCGGAATATAATACTAAAGCGACGCAAATATGTAATGATGAATACGAGTAGAGATAGATATATGATCAGAGAACATGATTATCAAGAGCTATGTTTGCAATTTAATAAACGCGATTGCAATCAACACGTGAACGTATAACGTCATTTGAATATTTGTGTACATTTGAATCGATTACATAACGTATTTACATACATATTTCCAGTGAAATGAAATTGAAACATGATATTTCATACACTTGACATAAAAACAACGTTATAATTAACAAATCAATTTGTGGAACATATTCAAAATGCATTTTTTTTTATTTTAGGTACTTTAACTATATTTTTTTTTGAAAATTAGGACCGAAACATTTGGACGTAACTTTTATTTAAAAAATAAGATATTTGTAAAGGTCATTGAAAATATTCAAATAATTATGATAACTAATGAGGCCATTCTTCATCAGCTCGCCTCGTTCAGTAATGGTCTATTAACGGACGCGGGGATAATGGCACGAATTAATCAGATTTAACTGATTGCCCCTCAGGTGCCGTCCAAACATTAATAAATCTACGATAAAATTTTTATTTTTTCATATTGAAACTATAATAATAGTAATAAATAAAGGTCTTATTTTGAAATTTCAAAATTCCTTTGTATAAATTACGATCAGAGACAAAACTACTTATTTTTTAATTTACATGAAATCTTAATACCGTGTTTTATTTCGTAAGTAGCGCCATCTAGTTCACATGTTAAACACAGTGTGTGTGTTGTATTATAAAACTAAGTTTAAGTATGTTTGTCACTTTTTTAACTTGAATATAAGTAAAAGTATTTAAGTGTAGTTATAAGTTTTGAATATAATTGCTTACACATTTTTAAACAACGGTGTAGATTAAACTAAGGAAAACGTGTAACAAAATCAAAAACCTCTTGATGTTTACATTCAACTTGTGACAAATAAATCTTAATATTCTGTAAACTTGTGTTCTTATAATATTCAAGACAAAACTGTTTTCCTATTATAACTTTCACAATCCGACGAATTAACTAAATTCATAATTTATGTACAAAGTTTATGAGTAGCGTAACAGCACTTACTAACTGTCAGGGAAGTATGAAAAACGACTTAAATGGCACTTAGTAAGTAACAAGTTTTTCCAAGCAAATGTCCCTAATAATATTACAAATTCAAAACAATCCACCCTTGTTATGATTCCACACCTATGCGTGAGACATGGATATAGATTTGTTACCATTACTATTAGATTCCTAAATGTATTAAATATTAAGCAAATGGTTTTATATATCTGTACATAACATAATGGAAGAACTACCCAAATCGTTCTCGACTTCTTGTAGACATATGTTTGGCAAGAGATGACTTTTAACACCGCGATTCAATTCAAAATTAAATTCGGCACAGCGACATCTGTTAGAACGCAACAGAAACAACGCCAACTATATTAAAATTGCAAAACTAAGAAAAAAATAATCGATTATTGACGTCAACTGTTAATCGATTAAATTGCAATTACATTGAATTTAATACCAACTTAAGAAATTATATTTTGCTTTAAAATCGCAATAACAAAGATGTCTTGATGTTAGACTTGATTCTTGACTTCAAACTTTGACAAATTAATGGTTAGTTGGAAAACCACTTCATTAATATTCCTGGACTTTATTTAAATTCGATTGAATTGAAACCAAATTATTTATTATTTTACAAAACGTAAACGAATTGTTCTAAATAACATTACCAATTGTGGGTTTAGGTAAAATTATTCAATAATAGATTTATTTGGTAATTTTTCGAATGATATTGTTATTTATGGGTCTGGTGACTTAATTTAAAAAGAAAATATGTTAGTTTAAAAACTTACCTAAATATACAACTAGAAGTTTCAACAACAATCATCAGCTCACTATGAGGTCCTACTGAGGGGCTCGGAGCCTATCCTTAATCAGGGTGACTAGGCCATAGTCGACGCTGGCCCAGTGCAGATTGACTTTACAGATATCTTTAAATTTATTCACAGATATGTGCAGCTTCGCGTTGTTTTCCTTCACCGTAAGAACGTAGGATAAACGTACGTATGTAAATCGAAAAACACAATGCTACATGGTGGGATTCAAACCGAGGACCTGCAGATTACAAGTCAAGTGCTAAACCCCTGTGCCACCGATGCTTCAATAACAGTACCTAGTTTTAAATATATTGTGACATAAACAACATTCTATTTAGCGTATAACACAACGATATCGGAAGGTTTACGAGGCTGTTATTGTGTTTTATGAGAGAGATCTCGAACATAAAATTATGAAATTGCAAAATATAATGTCTCGCTTTGTACACAATGTGACATTTCCTGTATATTATTTATAAATTATAGCTGTTGCCCGCGAATACGTCTGTGCGGAATTAAAAAAACCTTATTAGTCTATTTTTTCTTTCAAAACATGTCCTACATCTATGCCAAATTTAAGCGAGATTCATGCAGCCGTTTTGGATATATAGCCGTATACCTTCAAATAAACATCCACCCAAATTCGCATAAATAATCTTATTAATATTATAAATGCGATTGTTTAGATGGATGGATGTTTTGATGATGAAATTTGTCATAAATGTAGAACATACTCTGGAAGAACACGTAGGCTATTCATATTTTTTTTTAATTCCGCGCAGACGGCGTCGCAAGTCTAAGCAAGTCTTAAAATAAAATTTAAAAAGTTTCGTTTCATAAATGTATAAAAACTATTACAATACTGTTCGTTTGTAAAATGAGTATCTCGTTATTCGTAACAACATAAAAATAAATTCGTTATGTGAAAATACGACAGAATACGACGGAGTACGACGAATCAATCAAATTACATCGAAATTGCTGCGACACAAATGATATTCGATTGGACTCTTTTTTTGTATTAACTCAATCAACGTTTATGACGAACCGTATTGTTTGCATACTACGATATATGTTAACTACGAACTAAATCATATAAACGAGATAAGACTTTTTAAGGACATTTCCAAAAAAATAATCGACATCACAGGGGACCGAAGAGCTGGCAGCTACCTCGGTCAAAGAATTAGTTTAGCTGTACAGAGGGGGAACGCTGCCAGTATCTTCGGGACCTTGTCTAAAGGGACTCCTTTTAATAACATATTTTAGTAAATTATTCGTTTTTTTTAATATTTTATTTTATATCATAGATTTAAGACTATATGTGATTATAGAAATAAGGATGTATAGTAAATTTATTTTGATTTAACGAGATAATACAAAAATATCACAGCACTGGAGTGTGTTCGCTATTTTTTTCTTTTTTTTGAGCTGTCAGGGAGAGGGATAGAAAAATTATCGAGAGGTAGGAGGTAATAGGAGGTCGGTTGGACATTCAGTCATCGGGCTGTTGAACTGGAAGGTTGTGGAAAGAGAAATATAGTATCCAATACGTGGTT